AGAAAGCTCCTTGTGGCGGGAAATAATTTAGCAGTGCCGAAGCGCGCGCACACAAAATCACACCCTTGGGTTGTGACAGTTATGAGGGAACTTTCCTTAGGAAAATCTTCTCCAGCCACAATCCAAATGAGAGGGACCTAGTGTAGGAAAGGCCAGAGCCCGGTGGTCAGGAAGTCACTTGCGATGTCAGAGGCTGAAGCCAAATCCTAGCTCTGCCCAAGTCAGACCAGCACCTCGAAGCTAGGTGCCTCCTACATGACTACCCCAACCGCCAGGCTACTGTCAGTCAGCCTCAACCCTCCTCTCTTCCTGTTCCTCTTCTGTGTGTGTGTGTGTGTGTGTGAGTGGGGGGTGGCGCTTCCTAATGTACACGTTTGAAATCTTTTGAGATTCGGAGAGATGGAAAACTTGCTTCTGACCCACCTTCTACTGTAACTGAAGTGCTCGGACACATCATACGCAAACAGAAGCAGAGGTTGAGTGCAGCAGGTAAACTCCACTTACCTTCCTACCCCTGCCTGACATGCTCAAAGACCTGTAAAATGCAACTTGAAAGAAAACCCAAACTTTGCAAGATGTAGCTGGGAGACAGAGGAAGATTTCATTCTCTCCAGGTTGAAAACAGGAGGGAAAGAAGAGATGCAGCTTTGAAGCAGAAGCTGCTCAACATTTTCCTGCAGATTATTGTTACAAATTCATGACAAATAATTGGGCACAAAAGGTAGTAAATGATGGAGGATGGCTGGTGTTGCAGAACTTAGGGAATTTTTCTAGTTTGGGGACTGTCAACAGGACAGTCACTCTAAAGAGCAGCTTCATTTAAAATAGGACAGGGTGCAGTGTACCAGGACCAGTCCTTCTAGGTTACTGGAGCTCCCCAGAGAAAGGCTGAAGTAGGTTGTAGGGTGTACACCTAGAAAGAAGTGAAAGGGCAAAGTGGGTGCCGTAAGAGAGACTGGGAATTTGACCATGGCAAAAATGGCAGGTACTTATGGCCAGAGATGTCAGGATTATGGGGGCAAGGAGAAAGGGGAATAAAAATGAAAGCAGCTCAGGAGACAGAGACTCAGTTAAACCAATAGTGCAACAATGCTCCAGGCACTGCACTCCCAGCAGAGCAAGAGCATTTTGCTAGAAGTGAACAGGAAGAGTTAAACCAAGTTTGTTTCTGCGCTGTGCGGGGAAGGGAGGGGCGGAGGGCAATTCCAATTTGTCACGTGCTACCCAACAGATAAAGTCGCATGAGGTGTACCACCTGCTTACAGATTTTAACCCTACTTTCCCCCTTTTTCACTGAGAAGCAGCAATCCTTTAAAAGCCACATACGCCCAAAGCAGGAGATGCCACAAGGCCCATCTGTTTGCTTAGGAGACAGCAGCACTCACAAGGACTCTGCTGACAGCACGATCTCCTCCCGTCTCCCTTCGCTGTTCTTCTTCAGGATCACTCGGAACAAGTGGCCGTTCCACGGGCTACGGGCCGTGCCTCCAGCCCCTGGCTTGCCCGGGGGCGAGGAGGGTGGGTCAGGGCTTTCAATCTTCTCCACCACGACCTGATCCAGCTTGGCATAGTCCATCACAGTGTAGCTCTCTTCACTGCGGTTGACAAAGCACAGCAGAGTTAGCGTCTCACAGCACAGCTCGCTCATACACAGAAGCCTCGGCTCTGAAAGAAACTTCCCTCAGCTTTAGGACACCTGGGATGCTCAGCTGTTGGTCTATCAGGCCCGTTCTTCATGAATTTTGGCTCCCACAACCCCCCAAGACAAAGCAGCTCGGCACAACTGTGCGGCTGACTCAGATGTGCTGCTCCTGTCATTATGGATATGCAAAGTCCTGAAGAGCAAGTCCAGCACACATGAGCAGATAAACAACACCCCTGCAATGCTGACTACTGGCTGGCTGCAGTTCAGCCCCTAAGCAAGCCACAGATCAGACAGGAGGCTTGTCCCAGGGTTGGGAAACTCTGATGGGGCTCAGGAGACTGGATTTTACTTCTGTCTTGGTCATTGATCAGCTTTAACTTTGGGAAGCTCCTTTCTCTGCCTCTCTTTCCCCTCCCACCTTGCTCTATTTTGTTGCGGGTGCCACTGCTTTGCTGCAGCCCACCATGGCACAGACACATGGGGTTAACTGCATCTTCTGTTACATGACAGCATATCCACAACTGCCTGGTTTGACTCCAGCTTTTGGTCTCACTGATACTTGGGGCAGCCTGCACAAAATTAGTCCACTATGCAACCACCCGCTGCAGCCAGCATGTAAAGGGTGTTCTTGGAGAGCAGTTCGCCCAGGTTATAAGCAGCCACGAGCATGGAGGAGGGTTAAGCTGATTTCAGCAATGGGAAAACCGAACATGCATTTTTCAGGTCTCTAGCTGATACATCTGTCCGAGGAGGAGCATGGGGAGATAAAAGGAAAACTGGCCTCAGCACATACATTCCTCTGCTGCAGAACACTGCTGGCTGGAAGCGTGCAAAAGGAAACATGGTCTATATGAACCCGGAGGAAATTACTAAGTCAGAAGAGCAGGCTCATTACCCAAAGTGACCCTATGGATCCCACTATATGGCTGGGGCAGGGCCTTCACCTTTCACTTATGATAACTGTCTGGCTGGACCTTTCTCCGTGACTTGTCTTTCTGGAGTGGTCAATTGCTCAAGCCTCTTTATGTCTGCAAAAGATTTAGCTATGTATTGCCTGGGAATTTTGCAAGCTTCAAGCCCACGTGATCCTTAATGAACTGCAAGAGGCATGGAACAGACAGCTCTCCACCCAATAATTCTTATTCCCTGGCCTCAGCACGTGCACATTTGCAGTTAGTTGGGAACAGAAGGTCACTTCATTGGCTCTCTGCACAGAGCAGCAGACTGCGCTATGGCAGGCAATTCCCATGGCAATCTAATCCTTAGCATCCCACGGCAAACAGCGAGAGGACTCCAAATGGAAACAGGCCATTCCCAAAAGCGGCCCCTCAACACCAAGAAGGCTGTTGAGAAGGAATGAAAGAAGTTTCCAGAATGTGGGGAATTTAATCAATCAGAGCTCGGTGCCAATCTGAATGGGAATATCTGTGACTGAGAGGAAACCATAGAAACAAATGACAGTACACAATGTTTAAGCAGTAACTTAGGAAAAAAGCACGTGTTCCAGTGAGAGACAAATGGTACCAAGGACCAGACAGATGGAAGGGGACTTGCATCAGGGAGAACTTTGCAAGGTTCGATGCTGGCACCCAACTCGCCTTGCACTGTGCTGCCTCTGGCAGGGCAAGTAGTGTTTTGCGGGAGGGTCAGGAAAAGAAAGCTCTGTTTTTCCATCTTTGCTGATATTGCAAGCTCTGTGGAGTAGGGAATATCTTCATCTTGTGTCTGTACTGTCTAGCACTAGGAACTCCTGGATGACCTGAGTTATCCCCATGTTGTATACATTGAAAACAAAGCAGGGTGTGCATAGATGCAGCAGTTATAGTGGTATCAGATGAGACTAGTATAAGCTGTCCCAATGCAATTGTGATGCCTGCGTATGTGTGAACTGAACTGTTCTAACTTCTACCCTGAATGACCAGGGCTAAAGTTACAATAGTTTCACTCTGCTTATGCAGCTCTAGAACATGTAGACAATAACACGTATACCAGAGTAGCTGATGTGTGCTGCTAATCAACTCCCTCACCCCTGTTATAACACTGAGCCTACATTTTTCCAGTCTCCCCTTTGTGTTTGGACAGGTAAGTTTTCATTCCCAGCCTTCAGGCTGGAGTCATGCTTCTGTTCTGAATTCCAGAGACCGAGCCTACTACTGTCTCCCTTCCCTTTCACTCTTGCTGCTGCACACATTGCTGAGGCCTGGTGGGCGTGGGGAAGGGCCAAATGAAATTCTCTCAGCTTCACCCCTGGGGCAATGCTGTACAGGCCAGTTCCACAGCTCTGGTTTCTGCACTTCGTGCCAATGCCTCCAAATGAAGAGTCAGTAGTTCTCTGCAACCAGGCCACAGAGATGCGGGGTCCACAAGGTTCTGTCCACGGATCAAATATTTACATGTCCAGCTAATAGGAAAGGTGGAGTTTCACAGCTGTAGGTCAAGCAGGGTCTTGCTCACGAGGCCATGGAGCCTGATGGTTTATTTGTGTTTCCCGGAACTGCTGCTGTCAGGGCCAGCTAGCGGGGAATGACTAATTTTGCAATTTTTTTGTTCAAAACAAAACTACATCCCAACAAAACCCTGGGGAGAGGAGCTAGCCTGGCTGCCTGGAAGGAGGAAAGCCACTTGTTAACCAAGCAAAAGAACACACTTGCCCCCCACCTCACCCCCAAACTATGATGTGCTAACCAGCTCCAGGCCTGGCCTGGGGAACCATCTCTCCATATGCAAGGGAACTGCCCTGTTTCTGCCAGAGACTAACCATCGCACTCCCTCCAAGAGTGCTGAGAGGGAGACGGTCTGGTTTGGATTTTTTGCCTTGGCAGACATCAGCCATTGTGTGTGCAGGCTCCTGCGGATGCACAAATAAGCTAAATCACAGGAACTGGAGCCCTGAATGAAATGGGTTAAAGTCACAATGCTTGGCTACACCTGTGTCATGACAGAAATGTGGGGGCACAGTTACACTGTGACAGCTTATACTGGTACTCTGACTGTAATGTTTGTCTATACCTTCACTCCCTAACAAACTCATAACGGCTCAAGACTGAGGACCAAGATGCAAACACTTCAAACTGCCATTTTTTCAGCTTACCTGATCTGCTAGGATCCCAGCTTTGCAAAGCCAGATGTATTGATTGGAAGGTAAAGTTGCCATCAGGTAACACACCCTTGCACTACTGGGCAAGCTACTGCAGAAGTCATGGCTGAGAAACTGATACAGACACAAATTCACAGGGTAACATGAGCTGACCTCAGAACCCTCTTTACCTCTTCTTCTTGGTTATGATCAGGACATCGTTGAACAGGAAGAGGTAGCAGTTGACCCGGCCTTTGCGGAAGATCCCAACTTCCTCTCCATGGAACAGGGCAAGCTCCCCTCTCTTCAGCAACCACCGGGAGGCAGAAATCAGTGGGAATGGCTGCAAAGAGACCAGAAGGGTCACTTCAAATCAATGCTCACGTGCTGACAAAAAGACCGAAACTGCAGCTTTCTAAAAGAAGAAAAAGTCTGGCATGACGCCCAAAGGTCCAGTTTTGCCTGTGAAAGGATCACTAACAAGTGATGCTCAGACCTGATACTTCAAAGTGTCCGTCACCTAGCAGCTCCTGCAGACACAATGCCCTGGAGTGAAGGATGGGGCCAGGATCTGGACTTCTGAAAATGTGCCCTCTTGTATGGAAGTAGTGGAGCAAGAGATAACCATGTTCACTACAGGACACCATCCCAGCTCACACACAGGGCCACCAGCAGCACTTCCCTTGCTCCTCCCAAAGGAAAGGAAGGAATAATAGGAAAATCCCTTGAGGTGGCAGCCACTCAGTGTGAGTACTCCTACCCTCTGGGTCCCATTTCCCAGCCAATGACAGTCATGGTGCACACAGCTGACTGCTAGCCACGCAGCTTTCTTGTAGAGAAACGGTTCGCACAAGTGAAAGAGTTCCCATCCTGAACTACAGCACCAATAAGATCCTAAAACTAGGGACAGATTTACCGTGGGAGTTTGGTGTCCATTTGCTTGGGCATTTCAGCAATCCCAGCAGGCACCTCTCTGCTTTGGGAAGTGCCCCAATACCTGTGTGTACTCAGTCCTAGAAGGGCCGTCTTCACTGTGAAGCAGGCCAGGCTGAGCCTTGGGGTACTTCCAGCTCACAGGGCTCCTCACCTTGATCTTCCCGAACTCCAGCTGTGTCTGCAGGGTGTACATCTGCTCAGTCCGTTCCATGGTATGGGCTCCTTCATTGCAGCTCTTAACCAGCTGTAAGCAGACAGTTAGAAAGCATGAGCTGCAGCTCCCAGGCTTGCACTCTACATCAGATGCAGTTGTGGCCAGAAAGCATCAGACCTGGTGGACAGCCTGGAGTTCTCCAAAGCCATCGAGTTCATGTGTTGGTTTTGTCACCATGGTGTTAAAGAACTCCAGCCCATCCGCCGTGTTTGATGCTGGGATCTGATGTGGATCCTGCTGCATTCAAGATACACAACAGATTTAACCCAGGGTCTGGAAAAGGAATTGGTTTGCACCTCATGCCATTGTACACAACTGATCACCTACAGTGCAGCTGAGGAGCCATGGCGATGTGAACTGAGCTAGTGCATCTGAGGCAAAACATACCGGAAAGGAAAGAGCAACTTGCATCCATCTATTTTCCTTTTCTGTCCTGGGATCTGCCTATTGGCAACTCAAAGTGTTGTACTACCCCAGTGCAAAGCACCTATCATCCACTACTGGATGTGCATAGATGATTCAGTGCCTCACCTTACTGATGGCTCTCAGGGCTTGGGTGGCAGTTTCGTACGTCGTGCTGTATGGGTTGGTTTTCTGGCAGACAGTCTAAAAGGTAGAGAGAGAACAGTACTGAAAGGGTCCTTACAGCAGACAGGGCAATGTCACATTGCAAATGCTTTGCTGGGAGCACCTGGAACCAATACCTCAAGACCAGGAACACAGGACGCATGCAGCATTGAGGGTCTTGGATGCACAACTAGGAAGAGCAATCAATTTGCTATTGGAGGCCTCTTTTTCATTTGGCATTTCAATAGACACCATATACTTGCCCCTTTAGGACCAAAGAGGAGGAAGAGACACTTGTGCATTCACATCCCTGGGCAGGTAGTAACAGTTTAGGACAAAGTAAACCTCACCCTTCCTTCCATCCATGGACTTTGCTGGGTTGGCGAGTCACTGAATGGGACTGAACAGCTGGCAAGGGCCTCTCAAATGCTGCTGTCTTGGAAATGTTAGGCTTCACTTCCTGGTGCATTTTGCTGCTAGCTCAGGCACAGCTCATGGCTGTCCCCTACACTGCCCAGAGATCACTGCCCTGTTCTTTTTCTGGTACTCAGCAGAACCTCTTGGTTACACAGACAGTTTCTAGACAAAATCTTTTGCTCCATCCTCCCATGTGTGTAAGGATGGGGCATGAAAAAGCAAAGCAGGAGCCAAAAGGAGAGAGACAGCCATAGGGGTCTGAGGTGCTGTACACCCCCCAGCGTCATTTCATGGCAGACAAAACAGCTGGTGGCTATGTCTGGGAATTCAAGGGAGCAGGGAATGGAGCCAACCAGCTTGGGGTTTGAGTTCAAGTTCAGGACAAAGGCTCAAGTACAAGACAGGAAAACCTGACCTCCTGCTGCTTTAACCGGCAGCCCAAGAATGCAGGTAGCAAACCCCAAGGGCTCTGCTGTCCTAGATGACAGAAGGGGCAGCAAACAGTTCCTCTCTTCTTAGATACTCTTTGAAACGCACATGGGAATGCCACTAGCCAGCTCTGACTTACCTCCATCAACAAGGGAAGGCGTGTTACTCTCTGCATGGGAAGGATGAGGAAGGAGATCATGGGCAGACCACCACATTCTGGTTTCCTTTCAATCTGTTTCAACGCCTCTTTAAATGCATGATTTGTGGCTCTGAAACAATATAAGAATCCACCATTAGGACCTGTGCTCGGACTATAGAGACCTTCCAGGAAGAGAGTCTCTGCCATGTTCCCAGATCAAATAGGCTGCAGGGTTTCAAGGAGCTGGTTATAGCACACAGAGCCTTAGTCACATTTAGGGCACATGTTTGGCTTAGAGGAGGCCAAGATTAGATTTCCTCTAAGCTTAAGGAAACAGGTATAATAGACAGTTCTGGTTCTCCTCAAATACATCTGAATGGGTGGCAGGACCATGGTACAAGCCAGGAAAAAGTCACTTTGAAAAACAGATGACTCATAGAGGTGCCCTGAGGACTGCTGCTCCACCTCTGTGAGCCTCCTGATCAAAGAAGAGACAAAGTTGCATCACAGCATTTTCCCCTCTAGATTTCAAACATTTGTGGTTTGTGGCACCCTCCTCACACTCACCTATATCCCACCCCACACAAACTGAGCAATGCTAAACAATCTAGGGATCCCCAACCAGCAGTGGGTATCACAGTCATCTGCCTTCCATTGGAGCATCTTGCACTGAAATCTGGAGAGGACAAATGGCTTCCTTGAGGAAGAGGAGGCATTTGAGCTACAGGAGAATCAGATGTGTGCAAATACATGCCAACTGCACTATAACTGCAGTAGGTCGGCACCTCCGTAGCTCAGTCTGAGGACTCTGGACTGGTGGAAGAATTGCAGCTGCAGGCCTTCAATGGGACTCACAGCAGCTTCTGTAGCGTCCTCTGCTGGTAGACCTCATTGGAGCAGTAGATGACGTAGGGGTGGAAGTGCTGCAGTGCATGCTTTTCCATGATGTCACTGATTTCAGAGATCAGGATGTGTTCCTGGTACCGTTTCTCTAGGTCCTCAAAAAAACTGCCAAGGAAAAAACATCGGAAGGTGTTGAGCTGGAAGAGTTACCTGGTGGGCCTGCATCCAGAGGTGCTCTCTCACCCAGTTCCCTTAGAGGCCTCCCACAGAGGTTTGTGTTCCTCCCTGGATTCATATCCCCACTGCAGATTGCAGAAGCTTTCCATTCAATGCACTCCCCTACTACTCAGGGACTGGAGCACCCCCTGCTAGGGGCCTCAGCCTTTTTCAGAGTGCACCACCTCTTGCTCAAAGCTCAGCTCCCAAATGCAACCAGCTGATGCTACAACATCTGGTGCAGAAACCAAGAATCAACTGCAGGGCAGTGAGACGAGTAGCAAGCTTTCTCTGGGACTGGCCTCTGTTTCCAGCTTCTGACAACTGCAACTGACCTCTAGCCTAGCGCAGACCCTAGCAGGGGCATGGCAATGGGGGGGAATGCCTTATTGTATCACAGCTATTCAGGGGAAGCTCCCCATGTATCTACCCGACCATTGCCACACCAGATCTATTATTCTGGAGCCTAGAGACACTCTGGCATGATGCCCCTGCATCAGGAGCTAAGCTGGGAAGAACTAGTCTGCAGTAGTCCACTGCTGTCCATTTCCCTGCAGAGACAAAGTGCTAATTCTGTCAAGCTAGGGTAAGTCTGCCTTGTGGTTCGAGGGTAGCTTAAAATCCCACCCACCTGCCCACTGGCTAGCAGAAAAGCCACTCTCCTGGTGGCATGCATGGATGTGGATGCTTCCATGTGACCAGGCTCCCAGCAAGTTGCTAGAGCAACTTGGGTGTGAAGTTTGCACAGCCCAGTGTCTAAGGTCCAACCCTGCTCTCACGTTATCAGAGAGCTGCCTCTGGCTCATGGCCCAGCCTCACTGCAGGATTTCCTCATTCACCTCTGCACCCTGGGCTGTCTCCAAAGCTCAGCCAGAGTGTGGTTGAGAACAGAAACTGAATCTTCCCTCGGCAGGAACCCCAGAAGCAACTCCTATCACAGAGAGCCACCAGGAACCTTGAGGCAACAGCAGGCCAGCTGCTCTGATCCTCCCTACCACATTGGTGCAGCTCCTGGCAAACACATGCAGCCACCACCCAAGGCAAACACAGCCCGCAACCGCGAGAGACTGCGCAGGGGCCTCAATCAAAGAGCAAACAGATGGGGAGGAAGGTGCAGTAAGCCAAGGGGCAACTCTCCCTTCTTTCCTGCTCGGCAACTGTCCCTAGCATCTAGCTCTTCCTCGCAGCCTCTCCCCCACACCCACGCCTACAGTCACCGAGAAAGGAAGCTTCCCAGGGAGGAATTCAGAGCCTCTGGCCCAGTGGAGAAGGGCAATCCCAGGACATCGTGCCATGGGACAGCTGACAGCACAGTGCTCCAAAGGCCTTTCCAGCAATCAACAAGGAAGGGGACCAATGACGCAGAACAAAAGTGCTGAAAATGGACACAAACCATAAGCCCACACAGCACAAACCAGCTCAGCATGACCCTGTGGCCTGGCATGACCATACCCCACACCCCAAACACACCTTGACTGCCTTTGCAGAGTCCAGAAAGGGGCACTTAGGTCACAAGTGAGAGGTGAAATGAGGAGCTTAAACATCAGCATTTGAAATTACCCTGCAGGAATAACTCACGGTCCTAAATTAGACCTCACTTTGGAGGAGCAATATTTAAAAGACAAAGAGAAAGGTCCAGGGAAAATTATCTGTGTATACCAAGCAAGCTCCTCAGAATGAACCCCATGGGACCAGGAGGGAAGCTGGTTAAGAGAGGGCACTCCCTGTAATAGGGCTGGCTGGTCATTTTGCTGCACCAGAATAATGAAAAGCGTTGGTTCATGCCCTTAGGGTTGTTGAAAGCAGGGGTTTGTTGCCAACAGGCCTTGTTATGCTGAAGCCGCTCTGCATTACTTAAGCTTCAGTAGGCAAACAGGCCCCCAGCCACAATGTCTGGAGTTCCCCCTATCCACTTGCAAATTGTGAGCTCAGGAACCATTTGAGCCATGCCACATACCCATGACTTCCTCCAGCTCCTGGCAGGCACAAACCTGCACCTGAGGCTAACGGTTGATAACTGGGATGTGATTCCCTGCTGGGTGTATTCATGTCCTCTCTGGCAGGGGGAGGTCTGTCTGATCACACTTGAGTGTGTTAGTTCAGATCTCTGGAGACCTAGGAGCTCTCTCACTGCCAGGGGCACTGCAAGGAAGGGAGGCTTTGCAGCAGGCCAGAAAAGAGAGAGCCCCAAGCCAAGAGTCCCAGTGGCACGCATCATGTTCAAAATGGTCAGTACTGGCTCCACAGGGAGAAGACCACCAGCAAAAGGCTCCTGAGCAGCTCTTGGAAAAGGCCAGGCTCCAGCTGATGGGGTGATGGATTTTCTTCTTCCCTGCTGGACGAATTCTGGGATTGCAATGGCCAGCCTAAAGTGCAGCTGGGGGCAGCTCAGCACCCCCATTCTCAGTGGGATAGGGGCATAGGAGCTAGCCACCCAGCATGGCACTGGGAGAGCTAGGCAAGGAGGGGGACAAAACAGCATTTGACCAACTCAAGCCTTCTCCAGGTCCTATGTGGTGACAGAAAGGACCTGCTGCGAGGGCACCTACTAGCAGGGCTGTTATTTGAACTGCCTACTGCTCAGGAATCCAAAACACCCACACGATAAATTATTGTAATGTCACTTGCCTTTAAACCTGCCCCAAATCACCCCTGAAATCAGCAGACCAACTCCACTCCACTGTGGGGGAACCCAAAGCTACGTGGCCAGCGACAGTGCTGGGGTCAGAACTGGGATGCTGCTCAGCCTGCCCCCATCCCACAGCTACCAGGCTCAGTGATCTGCTCCAGGAGCTTTCCTGTCTGCTTCCTGCTGCAACGCTGTCCTCCTCTCTGACCGCCACATGCCCCAGCCCTGCCCTCCTGCAAAGCGCTGCCAGTCAGACAGCAGAGCCATTGGCTCTTTGAGGCAGCAAGCCCAGAGAACACCCTCCAAGACCGGGGGTGGCTTTCTTTATGCTTCTCACCGGCCCACTTTGCTAACAGCCGCCACGCTCTGGGTTCAGCACTCAGCCAAAGTTTACTTCCCTCCCGAGCAGCAAAGCCTGGGCTTGCACTGCTGGTCTGAGGTGCAGCAGTTTCTTTTTCAGCTTTTCTCATTTGCAAGCTAAAGAACACCACTCAGGGCAAGCCAGGGCCTGCTGGGAAGGTTCATGGTGACCTCTGCTCCTCCATGGTGCAAGTGGAGTCATGTCAGAGCATGACCTGGGATATACCGGGGAGGTGATGACAAGACCCACCCATGCCCGCTCCAAAGGGCTGAAGCGATGGAGGGAGGAGACTCCTGGCACAACAGGACTTTTGAAAGGCATGTGAACAGGAATGAGGAGGAAGGCAGGGTAAATCAAGACCAGGTTTACCAGCAGTGCTTTCCAGCTCAGTCCAAGGACTGAGCCAGATTGCCTAGCACAGGAGAGCAGCAGCACCACAAGGCCTTGTGAATGCTCCCCCCCACCTGCTCAGTGAAGGTTACACTCTTCAGCCCAGAGCAGGTCTCCCCAGTCTGTATCCTGATGGGAACACTGGTGGCACCAGAGTAAGCACAGACTGTGGTAGCCATATGCCAATGTGCTCAGGCGGCCCCTGTGCCTTCATACTATTTGGGCAAGCAGGAAGAAGGATACACAGCAGAGTTGATAGGAACCTCTGACACTCGCCCCAAAGGGCTGCTGCTGTTTGCCCAGATGCCTCCCACAGCTGTCCTTTCCACAAGCAATCAGGGATTTCTTTGAAGCAGAGAGGATCCCTTACCAGGAGAACACCTCACCCAGGGACAGACAGGGTCCGCCAGCTCACACCTTGTATATGATCCAAAAAAGAAGGGACAGATCTGGTGCAGGAGCTAGTGAGACATGTCCTCTGATCTATGCTATACAGGAGCTCAGATCACATGCCTAGGGTTGGTTCCCCTTCAGATCAGCCCTGGGGAGCCCTGACTAGCCCCCTTCTCCCCCACCAGGATTACCTCTTGCTGATGTTCAGAATATCCCCAATGTTGGAGAAGAGGTGGTGGTGCTGGGTCTGTGTCATTGTCTCCTTCAGCTCCTCAGACCTCATAAAGTGGCAAACCAGGATGCTGAGGCTGCGCATGTATGAATACTCAGAGGTGATGATCTCGAAGATGGCCTGCAGGGCAGGGCAGCACAGACAAAAGGCACGTAAGGTCCAAAACATCTCAGCCACAAGTTGTGTGCAGACAAAGTGAGCTAAGACAGCCTGCCATGCGTGGCCCCTCTATGCACGCTGAAGTGAAGGGAGTTGGGATTCCCAGCTCTTCCTTGCCAGAGGAGTCTCTGAGCCATTCGCCTCCATGCAGGATAAGTTAAATCCTCAAGGCAACCTGTCCCTATCTCAGGACTTTTCTTTAGCCAGTGCAAGGTTAGCTGCTGACTCCAGTCCTATTCCTTTATGCCAAGCACCCACAGTACAAGTAAAACCATCCCATGCCACTTGCACGTTGCCTAGCCCACTACTTTGTCTCAGCCTATGAGACAGAGGGTGCTACCCGGGTGTTCCTGTTGGTACTGAGGCAGCTGCAAGCTTGCCATGGCACCATGGCAGGAAAGTCATAGTCACTGGTGTTTCAAATGCAGCACCTGTCCCCAGTGATCAGCTCACTGACTCACCCACTGGTACAGACAGCACCCCTGAGAACCTCTTTCTAAGCCCAGGTCCCAACCAACTGCTATCCCAGGGGCCCCGCTTTACCTCCTGCCTTTTGCGCTCTGCAGGGCTTATTTTGTCGAGGATGTCCATTTCCTGCACCTGAGTGACAGAGAACAGTCACGATGAGCACAAACAACTGCACTTTACCCAACACCAGGCTCCTCACTTGCAACCAGCACTGTCTGAGGCTTCCTACAGGGACTCCCTGGCCCATGGTGTCTGGTGATGCAGGAGCCAACATGTCAGACCAGATGCCCAGCCTGCCAGCCTACTTCCTGGATGGGGTCAGGCAGCCAAGGAAAGTGGCCCAACCATGGAGAATAACTGCAGCCCAAGCCCTAGGGTCCCGGGGTCCCATGCTCCAAGCCACAAGCGAGTCATTCTTAGTTATAGCTATGGATGAAAATCCATAGCTATTTTCTATCATTGCAGCCGTGATGACCAAAAGGTTGTCTAGAGGATGCTGGCAATGAGACATCAGGAAAGAAACAAATAGGAATCCATGGCATTGGGAAGTGAAGTCCTTTCTCTATGGTCTTGTGAGGCCTGTGACCGATCTAATTACCCCTATGCAGGGTGTTAAAAGCTTTACAATTCACGTGAGTGCAAGCAGCTACCTACATTGCAGCAGGTAGCTGTTCATCTTCCTCTCTGGACTCAGTGGGAATCACACCAGCTCAAACCCAGCTTTCACGCAAATGCAAACAGCACTAGTCAAACCCTGCTAATCCCATGAGAGGGCAACAACCAGCGAGAACATCCCGAAGAGCTCCAAGAGAGAAGAGACCTTCACCTCCCACACATTCCCCCCCCGCAGCAACTAAGCCAACAGCTTGGTTATATATTATTAATACACTGCCCTGAATAAGTCCCTGCTATCTGAGCACTTCCTGTCTCCATGTCCAGGACAGTTAGTCCCAGCCCCCTATACTCAGTGCTGTGACCTGCAGGAGATTTTAAGACCAGGGGAGAAAAAATTCAGAAGCCAACCAACAGACAAAGAAACGGGCTTGGTTGGAGCATTAGAGGCATGCTTGCTGTCTTTCCACAGAGCTGGAAGGCTCAACTTCACAACAAAGTAGAACAAATGCACAAGTGAGATAAGACACCCAAAACACCCCTTCCCAGACCTCCTGCTGGCTGCCACGGGCCCAGGGCACCTGCTGCTTACCTCAGGTAGCTGGCTCCAAGTCATCTGGGCAGGTCGATAGCTCTTCACCACAATGGCAGCATCAGGAGTGGGTTGCTCCTCTGGGGTGGGTTCCTCTTCAAGCAAGTCATCGTCTGACTCATGAGGGATGGAGTTCAACCCTCGCTCACGGATCTCCTGGTACAGCCGGGGGTCTGGGGACAGTGGATGAGGCAGGGAATGACAAACGGACTGTGAGAAATCCTCATTCCCCCTGAAGCCCACTGCCCTCCCCCAGGCCTGTTGAAGAGGGAGGGGAGGCTGAAGAGTTGGGGCTCCTGCTGCGCTCCCAAGCCCCTTGCATTTGATAGCCTTTGCAATGCCCCCAGGGCAAGACTCTGCTTAGGCAGAGCAGGATCCATGGTTGGGCATGGAGGTGCATGGAGGTGCACTGGTGACACATCAGTGCTGAATGTGACATGGTCAGACCAGGGGCCCTGCCAGTGAAGCTGTGCCCTCAGGGCTCTATAGGGAGGGAACAAAATGGGAAGTGTTTACACTGGAGACACTGTACAGGCCTAGCAGCTCCACTGAACAGACCTGGTGGGAAGCCTCAGAATCAGGCTCAGTCGTGTTGGATCGAGTCTGCTTTGATCAAACAGAAGCTTGTTGCTGCATCAGACCGCACCTTGCCTCTAGCCATTATTACCCATCGACAAAGCATCCCACATGGCCTGCAGACCCTTCCACCCTCCACACACCTGTTGGCCCCCTGGCTGGTAGGAAGCACCTGGAAATTGCTCTGACCCAACACCCAGGGTGGAACTGCCGCTGAGGCGGCAGCGGAGCATCAGTCAAAGAACGCGTCTAAGGCTTTTATTATCCAGGATAAGCAGAACCACTCACCATCCTTGAAGGAGCCTCCGTGCCTCTGCATCCGTCTCTTCCCAAAGGTTTTCTGCAGGACAGAGACACAGTGAGTGCAAGACACAGGATGGCAGACAAGGGGCCTCGGCCCTCCCCTTGGTGGCTTGCTGCTTCCTTTGTCCTCAGTCCTTATCCCCATCAGGCCAGCTCCTGACCAACAAGCCCCGACGTGAGGGTACTCAGGGCCAAAGGGTCAAGCAAGCAGTGGCTGAGCAGCAAATTGCCCCTGCCCTGAATACTTCACACCTCCCCAGCCCCAACCAACACAGGGCATGGGGAAAGGCCAGACACAGGGACAGAGTCAACTCCACGACAGCAAGCGGTACAGAATGAACGGCCACAGTGGAGGCAAAGGGAAGGGATGGGATGGAGGGGGTCAGGCCAGGGAGATGAGTGTGAGGGGCAAGGGTGAAGTGATTTTACAATTATGAAAATGAGTAAAAATGAACACCAACCATTCCTCCTTGAGCTTTAATGGAAAAAGAATTCAAGACAAAAGATATACATACTTGTGTACAGACCTTGGCTTTCTTGAGGCTTGTATTAGCCTCTAGTTACCTTATTTGTGGTCAGAACAGCCTTAAAATTATTCCAATGTTTATTTTTTCACTGAGACTCACCTTCCTCTTGCTCTTATCCTATTGCAGGGGTGGGCAAAATGCAGCCTGCTGGCCAGATCTAGTTTCATAGATTTCATAGACATCAGGGCTGGAAGGGACCTCGGAAGATCATCGAGTCCAGCCCCCCGCCCAAAGGGCAGGAAGTCAGCTGGGGTCATAGGATCCCAGCAAGATAAGCATCCAGTTTCATCTTGAAGGTGTTCAATGAAGGCGCTTGAACCACCTCCGGTGGCAGGCTGTTCCAGACCTTGGGGGCTCGGACAGTAAAGAAGTTCTTCCTTATGTCCAGCCTGAAACGATCTTGAAGTAGTTTGTGACCATTCGACCTCGTCATCCCTTGGGGCGCTCTGGTGAACAAACGTTCCCCCAGATGCTGGTGGTCACCCCTGATAAACTTGTAGGTGGCCATCAGATCACCCCTGAGCCTGCGCTTTTTCAGGCTAAAGAGCCCCAGGGCTCTCAGCCTGTCATCGTAGGGTCTGCTTCCCTGACCTCTGATCATGCGCGTGGCTCTCCTCTGGACTCTCTCAAGCTTCTCCACATCCTTTTTGAATTGCGGAGCCCAAAACTGGACACAGTACTCCAGCTGCGGCCTCACTCAGGCCGAGTACAGGGGGAGAATGACGTCCCGGGATTTGCTTGAGAAGCATCTATGGATGCAAGCCAGCGTTTTGGTCGCTTTACTAGCCGCCGCATCGCATTGCAAGCTCATGTTCATCTTGTGGTCAATGATGACCCCCAAGTCTCTTTCTTCCACAGTGCTAGCCAACATAGCACTGCCGAGCCTATAAGGATGCTGCGGGTTTTTTTTCCCCAGGTGGAGAACCTTGCATTTATCAGCGTTGAACACCATCAGATTCTCGTCCGCTCGCTTGCTGAGCCTGTCCAGGTCAGCCTGGATAACCTGCCAAGAGATTTTACAGAGCCCTTGGCAGATCCCTTGGCTCCACCCAACCCAGGCGTGGGAGGCAGCCCGAGCCACGATGCATGCGGCCAGTCCCACCACCCCGGGCATGCAGAAGGGCCGGGGCAGTGCGACGGCCAGACTCGTCTTTGCACCTCCCCTAGCAGCAGCTCCTTCAGGCTCCTTCAGGTAGCTCCTTCGCTACCACCACTGGACCCAGCCCCACTGCCTGGGCACCTCAGCCATTTTGCCCTGAACCCACCGCTGGTGGTGCTGGAAAGAGCAGGTGGGGTCTCGATGGAGACCATCCTGGGACCCCTACGTGCAGTGCGCGCTTGGTCGGGCGGATGGGATGGGGCTGCAGATGGGCAGGGAGTAGCCTCTGGGAGCAGAACGGGCAGGTGGGGCCAGGACTGGGGGGCAGTGGCAGCATGGGGCCATGCTGGGAGCAGATCACGGCTCTGCCCTGCCTGCTCACAGACCCATCTCATCCACCCCGCCAAGCGCACCCTGCCCACAGGGGTCCCAGACCAGCCTTCATGAAGAACCCACCTGCCCACTCCATCCAGTGCCCCTGGATTGGTATAGTAATCAACCACTCAGGGAGTTTTGATGAGCTTTTGCAGGCTGGGCGGGGGGAGGCGGGGGGAGTTCCGACCCAGACAGGTAAGACAAGTGGGGGGGGGTGCAGGGGGCTGACCCAGCCTGCAACAGCTCATCAAAACTCCCTAAGTGGCCCTCCAGCCCAAATAATTGCCCACCCCTGTGGGCAATTAGCGCATGTATGAGTCACATCTGTACATAGCCTGTGTTAAAGCCATTTCAGTCATTTCTGGAATAGCTCCACTCATCACCCCTCGGGCACCGCGGCCCCCCCCCGCTCTGGCACCTCAGAGACGGCCACCCAGACGGAGCCCCTGGTTCCGGGCTCCACCCAGACGGAGCCCCTGTCTCTCTGCTGTGGGGACTGCCTGTCCCTTTTTCAGGCTCTGGGGCCTGGGAGCATGGTGACCTCCCCTTGTGGGGTCTGCTCCCTTTTGGGGTCTCTGGCGCGCCAGCTGGAGGAGCTCCAGGCCACAGTCCAGAGACTGCGTGCCATCAGGGACTGCGAGCAGGAGATAGACTCCTACTGCCAGGCCCTTCTCCC